AGAGCTCAGCACTCACCGAGGGAAACTCTGCTTGGCTGCACAAGGCAGGAAGATAAATCACTGCCACAGCACAAGCGAACTCAGCAAGTCTCATGGAGGGAGCAGGAGATTCTGACCTGCCTGCCTATCTGTCCTTCCATGCTCTCCATCCCACCTGCTGGGCCAGAACTCCAGCCCCTCCTGCTCTAGGGTCTCCAGCCATCTCTGACCCATTTTTATTGTGGTTTTGGCCCACTGATTGAGTATTTTTCTTGGCTTGATTTCCTAGATTTTTGTTCCTACACAGGACTTTCCTCTTCTTTCCAATACGGAAGAGACAAAGTTGACGAGACCAGAGAATCGGGATATATTTAATCACATAATCTTTCACAGGCATTGGAAAACCACATATCCGTTTCCACTGAGCCAGCGTGATGCAGCAGCAATCCCATTTGCAACAGTGAAATGACACTGCCATGCTTATGCTGATTTGGTCTGAGGGCAGGACGTGACCTATTGTGTTCATAAAACCAAGCTAAGTCCTGCTCCTCATCAAAACTTGAGTAACAGTTTTCATTCTGTACAGATAATTTGACTCCTTTCCTGAACTTCAGCCACAGATGCCATGCAGAGTCTGACAAATCTCTTCCAAGCGTGCTCAGTTCCAACTTAAAAAAAAAGAACAAAACACCAAATCATCTTGCCTTGGGTCTCATTGATCTAGACAGTGTCTGGTGCCCTTCCTCAGGCTGCCAATAAATAGGACATGATGCTGAACAGGGAGATATCCTTCTTGCTCCTGTTCCTTCACTTTTCCATCTCCAACAAGGATCTGCATTTACAAGCTAGCCCAAATACCAGGTAATTTTCCAGTCCTACCAGACTAAGTCAGCATATGATGTGGCAAGTAGAAGACTGATTTTGACAAGGTACTAGTCTTCCCAATTGCTTCTGCTGGAGACCATCTGGTAAAGGGAAAAAGCTATCTTATTTTTTTATTTCCCTTTCCCCACCCCTCCAAAAACTGATAGAAACTCTGTGTGTTTGCCATTTCCAAGGCAGGCCGCCTTGCAGCAAGCACCTTGGGAGAGCTGAAACACCTCTTTCGTGACCTTGGTCCCGTCACTTAATCATGCCCCAACTGCCTATGTATAAAATGTGCAAAGCAGCTCTGTGCATCTACCCAGTACCAGGACCCCTCCTCGGATATTCAAGTGGGAAAAGACAAAAACCACTCAGCACAGTCACACAACTGTGAAACAATGACAACAAGAGCAAAATGTTACAGTAGCCTCACAAGTGGACACACTTAGAACAAAACCCAGCACACTCCTCATTTTCACCTAGTGCAGCCCCTCTGGTTGGTTGTCACACCGTTTCTGATCTTACAACAGGAAGGAGTTTGAACCAGAGTATTTTTAACGTGCTGTAAAAAGGGGGAAATTCACGTACACACCCAAATCCACAGGCCAGGCAGCTTTCTCTGTCCATGGTCCCATCTGCCTGTTGAGGTGGAGCATTTTGCAGCCATCTCTCTTTTTAAAAAAAAACACCTCGGTGGACTCCTCTCCTTTTACAACACACCACAATTCCCTTCCCTCTGGTTCTCCAGAGTTTTCATGACTGAGAAAAACGTCTCAGCTGCTGAGAGGGTGTGATAATTACAGTGTGAAACCCCCTGCTGGCATGCTGGTGGGCTGGAGTAGCAGTAACACAACGTTGGAAATAGCCTTGAATATTTTGCATAGCATTTTTCCTCCTTTGATATTGTAGTTTTGCTTGCTTTATTTTGCTCTTTGGCCTTGTTATGCTCTAAATAAGAGCTAAAATATACGTACCAGTGGAAACATGCACTCTGACAACTTTCAGTGCTATAGAGAAGCAATGAGACTTTCAGAGCTACCCAGTGTTGCGCAACTGGTTCTCCTAAATAAAGTCAGTCATGCATTTACACATGTATAAACTTAATAAATCATGCACCTAGTAATATGCTGAGGTTCTGTGGCAAGGCCTTTGTTAAACACATTGCTAAAGGATCTTTGTGATGGATACAGGAATTAGGCTGGAGGATTATAGTGAGTAGCTAGCCTTTTAGCCAAAAATATTGATTGCTTTGTTTTAAATATATTTATGTCACTTTGCAGATTCTCAGTCAAGAGCATGAAAGAGATACAGTTACAGCTGAAGTGGCTGGTTTTTACAATGATCCAATTTCCAGCATTTACACTGAGACTCCTTTCCACCTCTTCATGTGGCTACTTCATGGCAGGAACAGAATAAAAACTGTGAAAAGCATAAATTACACCAGCTGGACAGATTTGACTAATTCAACTAGCTTGTGGTCTGAAGACATGTAGAATCCATCAACTGTTTTGAATTATCCACATGGAATCATGGAATAATTTGGGTTGGAAGTGACTTTAAAGATCCTCTAATTTCAATGTCCTGCCATGGGTAGAGACACCTTCCACTAGACCGCCAACCTGGCCTTGAACACTGCCAGGGATGGGGCAGCCACAGCTTCTCTGGGCAACCTGTGCCAGGGCCTCATTTACCAGACACACTGAAAAAAAAAATAAAAAAATAATTCAACTTGTAGCTCTCTGGGCCAGATTATTTTAGTTACAGCCCTAAAAAGTTAAACCGACCCACTAGAACACAATAGGGATTATTCTAGATTCACACCATGCCCCCATCATCACCTGCTTCCACACTTGCCTTCCAAATGTCACAAGCTGACTTCTGCAGGAGGCAGGTCTCTGGCAAGCATGGCCTGATGAACTGCAGCAAATGAGATCTGCCCAATTTCCCTTTTTCCACATTTGTACATCATGAGAGGCCAGGGTGAAAGTTTATAACAGCAATTAGAAGCCACATGGCTGCAGCAGTTTTATAGCACTGAACTCCTTGATCAGCCAATCCTACTCATTCAGAGTTTTTCCAAGGACATACCAATAAAAATTATCACAATAACTTAGGAGGGGGAAAAAAAAAAAAACAACACCTTTGCTGAGCCATTGTAGTTCCCAGAACCAGGATGTTACAATTGTAGAGTTAACTTCTGCTTAAAAAATGAGCACTGAATCCCAGGTTTAAACTGAGAAACAAGCAACAGTGCATTGAGGCACTTCAGTATTAGTCACCTTGCAGATCAGCGCTGATAAGAAGCATGTGAATCTCTTTAACCCACTAGTATGAACCAGGTCCCAGGAACATTAACACAACAGAAGAATGAGAAAACAACCAACAGTTCTACTAAACCAAGGGCAAGGAAGTGAGATAAAGTATTGAACAACAGGATAATAAAAAAAGTTGCAAAGAAACCAATACAGAATTGCACCTATGCTGTGCCTTGCCACTGTCTCAGAGCCTTAAAAGGGGTTGAGTTTACCGATAGGAACAGTCAACCCAAGAGCACCAGCTTAAGGGCCCGATCCTACACACTGAACTTCAACAGACTACGTGACTTAACCCTCTGAAGGATCAGGCCCCAGAGGACCTCTTCATGCCAACAGCATTTAAAGAAATGGGATTTTTGCCATGGGCTTCACTGAAAGCAAGAATTGGAGCAGCTCCAGCAGCTGATTGGATTGCTGCCCCCTTCTCATTTCCCCAGCTCCAGCCCCAGACAAGCTATTTTGGATCTTCCCTAAAGCAAAGTCTGTAGATCCCAGGAAATAAGCGCCTGATCTTTCTTTTTTCTTTTTTTTTTTTCCTAATACTTTAACCTGTTTTCCCAGTGTGTTCTTCTTCAAAGAAAGTCTGTGGCGATGCAGATGGATGGCTCATGGTGACAGACTAAAAAACTGAATACGCCCATTTGTCTCATTTCTTAAAGAACAAGGGGAGAATAAAGGAGGGACAAGTGATGCAGTGACAAACCCGGGTTACCTTTCGCTCTTAGAGACTCCTTTTGGTTCGTCCAACTCTGCTCACTGGAGAACAGGGCAGCTTTGAGCAACGCACTGTCACCAGTCAAGGAGAGCAAACAGAAGAGACTTGCAACCCTATACCAGCCCAACAGGATTCTGGTATGGCACCCTCACCTTCCAAAGAAGAAAACAAGTGTGGGACAAGACTAGAAGTGAGAGAGGAAAGCTCAGCTACAGCCAACACCTAATACGTTGTGTTGTGTCCCTCCCCCCAAGCCCAGTACTGTGGTATCAGAAATCACACGCTGCAAGGAAACAAGCTGTAAGAGCAAAGCCCCGGTGAAATAAGGCAGAACCCCGTGTCTGCGCTGTTTGCGGAGAGCATTAGCTTTTGCTTGCACACGTGCGTGCTTGTGCGCACAGACCCACTGCTAGGAGAAACAATCCCGTTTACTAATTCTGTGCCGTGCTAGGAGCCATCTGCGGCGGGGGAGGAAGCACCACTGCCCCAGCCAGGGACCTGCAAGCACGGAAATTACAAGCAGAAGAGACACAGCAGTCAGAAATCACATCCTTTGCTCCCAGCTACTGCTCTTTCCTCAAGCAGTGCATTCACATGAGGTTTTAGTGTCAGAGAGCAGCACTTAGCTGAACTTCTCATGGGCATCTAAACGTTCTTCAAAAAGAAGAAGGTCCCATCCGAGAGCCCTCTCCGCCCTGCAGCTGCATTGTCTCCGGGAAACCTCATCCCGTTATCCCCTGGTTTGAGGTGGGGGGAAGCTGTGCACTAAACGATAGAGCTTCCAAACAAAAGCTAAAGCAAACCGAAAGCCAGACTACAAACCTGAATGACAACGAAACCAAGAGCGAGTCCTAAATAAAACACTAACCCCCAAAGAGAATTCCTCTAGCGCTAGAAATTTTCTTACTCCCGAAAAGGAGACATGCCGTGAACGAAAAGAACGTTAGGCGATTGCTGATTTCGAGGTTATCGAAGAGAGGGAAACCCAACAGAGATACATCTGCCTTGCACCGACAGCGCTTCCGAAGTTGCCCAAAGTTTGCCCGCAGCTGAGCCTGTCACCCCGAAAGCCGGGGGAGCGCGGTCTCAGAAGGGCCAGCCCGCCCCGGTCCGGAGCACGCACTCACCGGGGAGAGGAGCCAGAGGAGCAGCGGCACCACGACGCCCAGGACAGGGGGCTCCATGCTGGCCACGCCGGGCCGGGAGGTACCGCGCTCCGGTAGCTCCCAGCGCTGCAGCCAACGCTGCGCTGCGCTCCCGGCACCGGGCTGCGCGCATCCAGCGAGGGAGGAGAAGGAGGAAAAGGAAGGAGGGAGGAAAAGAGGGAGGTAACATTACAAACCCCCGCGCCCCTCCGCACCGCTCCACCGCCTCTCTGCGCGGGGCGGGGCCGCACCGCCTACCACCCCCCTCTCGCCCCAGGTGCCGCCGGGCCCGCGGGCAGACGGCGCTTACCGGCCGTCTCTGCCCCCCTCCAGTCCTCTTCTGTCTTTTTTCCTCCCTCTCGCTTCCCTTCACCCCTTCTCCTTTTCCCCTTTATTAATTTTCCCCTTCGTTTGACTTTTTCTTTTTTCGATTTTCTTCCCTCTTCCCATTTTTTCTTCTTTCCCTTCTTTTATCCTTTTTTTTTCCTCTTTTTTTTTTCCCTTTCTTCTCCTTTCTCCCTATCTCCCATGTTTCCTTTTCACTATCTTCCCCTTTTCTCTCTCTTCCTTTTTTTTTTTTGTTTCCCTGTTTCCACCCTTCTTTTTCCTTTTTCTCTTCCATCACCTTTTTTCTTTTTTATTTCCCTTCCCCCCCATTTTCCCTTCTCCCACTTTTTATATGTCTTCACCCTTTCCCTCCCTTTTCTGCTTCCCTGTTTTTTTAATCCTTCCCTCCCTCTTTTTCCTTGTCTTTTCAACTTCTTAAAGCATTGGAATGGGTTGAGGAGAAACCAAGGCTGAGGAAATCAGCAAAGCTCATTTTTTTCCTTTTTCCCTCCAAGCTGATGCAGTCACTATGGGATTCTTCCAGCTGCACAGTGAGAACCTTGCAGATCCACAGCTTGCAGTGCAAAACCATCTCATCTCTTTGCAGAGCCTGGAGACTCCTTACTGGGTTCATCCCTGAGAGATGCTGAGATGGGTAGGGGGAAATGGTCTTGTTAGGGGGAGTGGTGGGTAGAGGCACAGAAGGCCCAGTATTGCCATGAGCTCTACAAGTGTGTTGAGTTGTGCTGGGAAAGGAGATGAAATGGTTGCTTGGGGTATTTGGCTTCCTGTGAAATAGCTGCTCGGTTACAAGGGGCTTAGGTAGACAAAAGTTTGCAAATTCCAACCCAGTTCGGTGAATATGTGTGTCCTTTCTCTGTCCTTCCCCTCGGAAAAAGAGAGAAAAGTTCCAAAATGCAGGTCAGTGACATGACATTTCTGGGCTTCTCATTTTGGAGGGACAGCTCAAGACCGGATTGACCTTATTTTTTGATGCGAATGTGGAAATCCCTCCCCTCTGCTGCATGAGATGGAGCATTTCATTTAATATTAAGTGCAATGCTCTTTTCAACTCAAGAGAAACCACAGGCATAAACTTGCTTTAGGGTGAAAACCTAAACAAATCTCATGAAGAAAGGTAACAATAAGAAACGTAGTATCTTTCTTGCTGTTCTTTTATCCCCAGTCTGGCTGGATTTTTAAGCTCCAACAGATGGACAGATTTAGTGTCTTTTAAACCACCTGCTGAAGAGAGAAAATAAATCCTCGTATTTGGGAGGCCCTGGAGACAGCTCCCTGATTCCAGGCTGTTCAACTTACTGACGCAGCCAGGAAAGCTGCTATTTTTAGAGAAAGGGCTTGAGGGTTAAAATCCTAGAAGTTGTATCCAGTCTCTACCTCTTGTTAAAAAATCACTAAACATTTCACTCTTTAAAGATAACATGCAAAGGGTGTGAAAAAAAGAGTTTAGTATCTTTTTCCCCCTTGAGCTTTTTCGGAAAGACCTGTGCTTTTTTTTGACTTTTTTTTTTTTTTTTTTCTTTCCTTTGCATTTTAGATGAAAAATCCTAGTTCTATCTCTTGTTTCTTATTGTAGGCTTGATGGTGGCTTATAATTGCCAGTGTAAAAAGAGGGACAAGATGCTAATTACATCAATTAGTTGTACAACAATTTGAATAGGCAACAAAGCTAGATAAAGCTCAGTTTGGATCATAAAATGAAAGGGGAATGACCCATTAGCTGGTCACTGCATCTCGCTTCTAATAATAGCCACTTTGTGTTTGCTTATTTCATTTATTCATGCAGCCTGAAGGCTTTCAAGTAGCCTGTTAAAGACAAATTTCCCTCTGGGGGAGAGGCGAATGTATTGGCAGATGTTGCTCTTTAGATTCTTTGCAGAGAGTGAATCTGAAGGCTTTGTGTCTCATAACAGTGATTTTACAGAAAAGGTCTCAGCCAGAGTGGTACATTTTGCCCTGCGGATTGCACTGGATGGAGTTTAAGCTAGTCTGATATCCTGTAGGCATAGCGTGAACTCCAGGGGGCCGGTAGCAGCCTTTGTGTTTGATTTGAAACCACCATCCCATGCCCCCAGATCTTAACTGCCAGTACCAGTGAACACTCATTATCTTCTCCATGTGGCTAGAGATTTTGTATCAGTCCTTGTTTTGTAGGCTGAAAGCCTGGAGCCTGTGCCATACCTTTGGCATCATTTTCACCCTCTTCTGTACCTGTTCTTTCCCCATTTATCCTCTTTGGGACAAGGACGGGAGCCAAAAGGATTAAAAATGTTGGTGCACTGTTGTTTTATGAAGTGGCATAGTGATGGTCATGGTTTAAACCTTTTTTTTTCTTGCCTTGGGTACAGGAGCTTTCCTCTTGGAGCAAGTCTAGATGCCATGGAAATGCTCCGAGGGATGGAGCACCTCTGCTATGGAGACAGGCTGAGAGAGTTGGACTTGTTCAGCCTGGAGAAGAGAAGGCTCCAGGAAAACCATAGAGCAGTTTCCAGTGCCTAAAGGGGCTGATAAGAAAGCTGGAGAGGGACTTTTTGCAAGGACATGAAGTAACAGGACAAAGGCCGCCTGGTCTTGTGGAAGGTGTCCTTGCACATGGCAGGGGGATTGGAACTGGATGGTCTTTAAGGTCTCTTTCAACCGAAACAATTCTGTGATTCTATTATTAGGTGACTTAGTGGTGCACTGTAATACCAAGATGTTTCTCCCACAAAGGATGATTCTGTTTTGAGCCCATCTCTGTGTAAATCAATTGATACACTGTGGGACATTTTGCTCATTTGCTTCACTTTCCATTAAATACACTGAAATTCAACTTCTGTTTCACTGTCCTGCTGATAGGTTGGTATTTGCCCCAATTTCTTTCCATTCAAAATATCTCTGTGAAAGGTTTTACAAGGCTTCAGAACTGTGATGTGAGTTTGGAAGTAGCTGCTTGGTGTTGAACAGGGTCTCTGCTAATAGATTGATGCAGCCAGCTAGAAGGCCAGAATTTTTCCTTAGGACACTCAGTCATGAAAAATTCCAGAAAGCCTTGATCTAATTCCTTGTCACATCACTAGCAGCATAGCTATTTCAGTGATCACTGTCTCATGCTAGTGCATCTTCTCTGTGGCTATCTTATCTTGTTACCATTATTTAACCCTTTTCCTTAATGATCATTAACATCTGAGCTAAAGCATCCATCATTAAATGGCTTGTCTTTCTGGGAATTGCTTTGGAAAATATCAAATGAATGTAAGAATATTTTTGTGGAGGGTAACAATAGAGGTAAATAAAAGCAAGTAGGTTTTTTCCTGTCTGTGTTTTTTAACTCTCTGTCGCAGCAATCAGAAATACAAGAAGTATTAACAGTAGTGTCTAGAAGGACAATATTTGAGAGTTGATTCATGCAGCAGTTTGCTGAAGGCTGGGTTTGCTGTTATGTGCCCTTGGGGTTATGTTCCTCATTTAGCTTTCTCTGGAAGCCCAGCACAGTACATCTATTCTGCTTTCCGCTTTGTAACTTTATTTAAATAAAGTAATGGCATCACATTCCATAAACAAACTGTGAAATGTATTTCTATGTATTATTTGCATTGGGATTAGTGGTAACAAAACACTCACTGTGTTGTTTAGCAAACAAGACAATTAAATCCCCATACAGGACTTCATTGTTTGCAAATGCAACGTAAACAGTTGGTTGTTTCCTGTGTTTTAAGTCTCCTTACTCAGGGTGGTGTGGACTTGTGTGCAGATACTAGTGTTGCCCTAGGAGAAATCTAAAACAAATTGACCGCCATTCAGAAGAGCTAAAATCTCTTCTGTCCCCAACCATCCCCAACAGTTACCCAGTGGAAAAGTTCCAGAAATTTCCACCTGCCCATATCCTTATAAAGCTGAAAGAGCAGCAGAGGTGGGTACATCAGAGCAGAATGTGGCACATCTGAACAGAACGTTTCAATTAAACGGATCTACTTGATACAAGCAGACTAGAATCTTGTCCTTGGTCTCTAGGGCAAGGGCAAGTTGTCCAGCTCCTGTTGCTCACCTCAGTCTATAAGCTAAAGATAGTAATGACTACCTTCCAAACTCCCAGGAGAGTTAAGGATTAATTGCTTCATAGTACTCAACATTTATTTTCACATAATCAATGCCACTGGGTGCATAAAAATAAGCTTTGCAATTACTATTACATATCCACAGGGGACCATTCAGTCACGAAGCACTTGGATGAAACAGTTTTCTTACAAATAATTATTAAAAACTAATCTTATTTATGTTTGGGCTGGAAAAGGAGAAACTCTTTGGGCTCAGGAAGAACAAATGCAAGCAAACAAACAAACCAGCAAGAACTTTCTCTGAACTCAAGATGGCAGTGTGCTGGAACCAGACTGAAGGTGAATAGAAAACCGTGCATTACTAAAACAGCGCTATTTACACTGGGAACATTGTAAAACCACTCCAAGGTACATGACGTTCTAAAGATAGAGGAAACTGGGTGCCTGCCTCTCCCTGCTTTCTCCTTAGAGCTTTGCAGAGCAAAGGAAGACAGAGGAAGCAGTAATGACAGTGTTATGTGCATGGAAAGCTGATGAGCAGAGTATTTGGCATCATTACAACTGTATTTCTTAAGACAAACTGTGTCCAGTGGAGGTAGGTTTCCTCCAAGGTTGTGGCCATCATGAAGAACCATCTGGCCCTCATGAAGAAGAGTCTGGCAGCAGAAACCACATGGAGCAGGGCAACCAACATATTGATTGACACCAGAGATTATACAAGCTAAAAGGTTGAGCTAAAACACAGCACTCTAGAGACTAAGATAAAGGCTCCACCTTATCATTAGAGGATGTGACATGGCTGATGTTTTTTGTGGAGGAGGCAGGAAATGGAACATTTTACACAGCC